TCGCACCCCGAAGCAAATTTCCCCATAAGGTTCAGTGTAATTACCGTTAATCTGTTCTGGCATCCACGGACCATGCGTCAGGGGTGGGAGAATGGCTGGGTGCGGTGGGAAAACAGCCGCGGACCACGTGTCAGGGGCATAAAAATGGCCGCGGACCACATGTCAGGGCAGAAAATGGCCACGGACCGTGTCACGGGAGGGAAAATGGCCGCGGATCCAGTCCGTACCCCGAGGCGGAGTTCGCATGTCGGGGTAAATTTTTGCAGCCGGAGCTGGGCGTAACCCGAAAAGTTCGTTAGCAGAGGCATGCATAACCCGAGGTACCATTGTATTGAATTTCTGAAAGTGGATGAGCGGCTAGAAGGCATCCGCTCTTGAGGCTTGAAAGGGCGGAGCTGGTGGAGTTAATTCTTCCACAGGACCATTCAAATTTCCCTGCTTTCTTTTCTGCTTCCCGGTGCCAGAACACACTTGGATTTGAAGTGGCAGATACTGTCACATTGTCACAGCTCACCCTCAACAACAAAATGTCCTGAGCCAGTATTTCATCATCTTATGACAAATGGAGTGATCCAGAAATTGATTTATAGATATTACACAATCTTATAAAGTAAGATATGCAGCACCCAAGGAAAGGGGTAAGGTGAGGGAAAAGAAAAAAGGCACATCTGGCAGCATTTCTTAGTTACATTCTAAGGAAATTAAATCTTTTAGAGCAGTGGTACCCAACCTCTTCTATGCCCCACACCCCTAGGAAATGTTTGATTAAAGTTCACAACCCCTACAAAACTAATATCACATTTGAAGATGAAGAAATCTAATTTCTAATGTGGGTGAACAAATTGAACTTACAAAAAAATAAGCTTTTAACCTAGTGCATAAAATAGTCATACCACCTGAAATTCCATCTCACACTCCCTGGGGAACCCGATTTAGAGGTTCACATACAATATAAAAGATACAGGTAGTCCTCAATTTATGATCACAATTGGGACCGGAATATCCATCGCTAAGTGATGTGGTCATTAAGTGAGTCATGCCCAATTTTATGACTTTTGCCATGGTCATTAAGTGAATCACTGCAGTGATTAAGTGAATCATGCAGTTGTTAAGCAAATCTGGCTTCCCCCATTGCTTTTTGCTTGTCCCCCACCTGGCTGGGAAGTTCACAAGTGGCGATGATGTGACCCCAGGACACTGCAACCATCATAAATACATGCCAGTTGCCAAGTGCTCGAATTTTGATCATGTCACCATGGGCATGCTGCAACAGTCAGAAGCAAGAGGATTGATCGTAAGTCACTTTTCTGGTGCCATTTTAACTTTGAATGGTCATTAAATGAACGTTTGTAAGCTGACGACTACTTGTATAGTAAACACTATAGAAAGAAGAAACCAGAATGCCCACTTCTCCCTGGAAGTTCAATTTGGTTATTCCTTTTATTGTATTTTATAAAGCTCCAGCAAGCAGAAAGATGACCACTGAGATAAATTGCACCAAAAAAAAAAAGAAAGAAATTCAAAATTTATTGAGGTAACAGGCATGACAG